TTCCCCTTTCCTTTATGGGGGTTCCGGGCCCGGGGTGGGGGGGTGGGGGGGGGGGGGTGCTCAGAGGCCGTCTGCAGACGGGCGCGCGCCCGCCCCCTGGCAACAGGAGCGCGCGGAGGCCTCGGACCGAGAAAGAGCGAGGCCGCTCCCGGAGCGGTTGGCACAGGAGCCTCTGGGAGCACCCGACAGACCCCGGCGTCGCCGCCGTGTTTTCGCGGGCAGAGCTCCCCTTCGCCCCCACCCCGTTTGCTCAGCTCGCACTATTCGCCTCCCCCCGTCTCCGCGGAGGAGCCAAGCGCCGCTTACGGCGGCTGCCGCAGCTGGCTCGATGTGGAGTTCTCTGGATGCTGGCAGCGTGCCCAAGGCAGGAGCTGCCTGCTCCCAGAAAAGAGGAATCTCCGGGATTCCAGCGGCCTGCCGCGATCGCGCTGCTCCTCCCGCTCCCGACGAGAGCGGCGGAGGTCTGCCCGTAGCGCCAGACCGGGACAGACCCGGCTCCGTGCGTCTCCTTCACGTAGCGGAGAACAGAGCACTGATCAACAGAGAGCCCCAGTACTGGGCTAAATTGCCGCAGCCAGCACTGACTTCAGCGCGATGAAATGTGACAGCGCTCGGGACCCTGCTCTCGCGGCTTCAGGATTGTCCCCTGACGCGGCTACAGCTCTTTCCTGCCCTCCCCGCACAGCGCTGGCTGCGCCCTGCACCGGCTCCGCATGGAACCCTCGGCCGCCTGCTCGACGCAACACGCACACCGAGGAGCCACGGAAGAGCGCTGCCCGGGCCGGGGGAGCCTCCCACGCTATAAGTAGTGGCTCGCCGCGGCCGCCGCCCCGCCCCGCCCGGGCAGCCCCGCTGCTGGCGCGCGGGGCTCCCCTGGCGCCGGGCCAGGCGGCTCCGGCGACGCAGTGAGGCCGCAGTGCGCGTGCGCGGCCATCGTGGCGAGGGCTTCCCCGCAGTGTGCGGGACTCCGGGGGCGGGGTCGGAGCTGTCGCCAGCAGCCCAGCGCTCAGGCGGGCCCCATGCCGGTGACGGAGTCTGGAGCTCCGCGGCGCACGGTCGCCCCATCGTCGGGTGCAGCGGGGGACTTGCCGGACGGCCTGCTCGCCGCTGTCTGCGGCTCCGTGTTCTGCCGCGGACGGCGCTCCCTCTGCCGCAGAGACGGAGGGTAAAGGCAGGTGACTTGGTTCCTCTTCTGGTCTGGCCCCGCTCGCTCGGGGCACCGCCCGCCTCCGAGCATCCCGCAGCGCCATTCGCGGTCGGTTGCAGAGCTGGCTCTTCCCCGAGGAAATCCTGGCGCCGAGCCGGGCCGGGCCACACAGAGCTTTATGCCAGGCTGCCTTCTTTTGCCGTGGGAAGGCAGCTGCATAAACCAGTAGCCTCTACCGCCTTTGAGATTTATATTCAAGTTGCGAGCCACGGCAGGCCTCTGTCTGCCCGCTTTTCCAGAATATTTAGACTTTTGCCATGAGTACAGTTTTTAACTGAGTTGCTATATTTAGGACTGTGCCTTGCCAGTAACACTGTGCAGTGCCTCCCACACCGATGCATTTCCACCTTAAAATCAGCGATGGGCTGTAGCAACACAACGCCTCCAGGCTTCGGAGGATAGCGTCTGCTTATCTGCAGCCGCTATTACTCAATGGCAGCTACTACATATCTGTTATTTGGTACTTACTCTTTATAGAGAGAAATCATACTAGTTTTCAGTGCACCAGGCCAAACATCTATTTTGAAAATGTCATTTGGAGCTTTTCCTTTTTTAAAAGATACCTACTGCAGGTTTTGTGACATCCCATACATAATGATTTCAACTAGTCCAATTTTCATCAGCATGTCACGGTTTGGAGCTCTTTTAGAAAGGGATGAGTAGCAGAACTTGACTTTTTCTACAAACACTGTAGTTTGTTTTGGCTTCTGAACATCTTACTGACATCGCATCTTCCTTGTCCTTTTTTTTTATTCTATTCCTTTTCAAGATCAGTAAGAGGTGCCTGATTCCTAGAGAATTTCATTCATACACTCTGTATGTTGGCTCCAATATTCCCTTACAGATATTGAAGTGCATCATTCAGACAAATATGGTTTTTTGTCAAAATCTGGAATCACAGATGGAAAAAAATCTAATCCTCTTTTTAAAGTACCTTAATTTTTATCAATTTGTATAAGATAAAAAAGAGACCTGCTTTAAGAGTTGCAGACAGAGCAATGTAACTAGCTTGAGCTGCACATAAGTTATGGTAATAAAGGCTGTTTTGCAACACTGCACCATTCTGGTGAGGCTTGCTGGCTTCAGGGAAGTACTGGAGAGACCGTGGATGACTTATAACCTGTGCACTAAGCTAGCAAATTGCCTGTTGTTACGAGTTTTCCAAAATCCTCTTCTGTGTTCAGTTTTCTTTTTCTGAATACAACGTTAGGTATGTAGGAATTACATTAAAGGTGTTACTATTGAGATCCAAGATCTGTTTAGGTCATCTAGCCAGACATTTGGCTTTTTTTCTAAGTGGAATGATTTGAAGGTCCAAAGAATTTGCTACTATACATCAGTATTTGAAATGTCTTTCTAAAATGGCAGTATTTTAATAAATTTTTAACACTTCCCTTAATTTTGTGCTTTCCTAGTGAAAGCACACTGCCGCTGGATCAGTCATACTTTTATTTGAAAATTTAACAGTTTTGGCTCTGATTGTCTAGTGAATAAACATGTGCAATACACTGGGTCTCCCTGAAAGTCTGTCGTTATCAAATATATTGTCTCTCAGTATGTACTATTTCAGTGACAAGAATCCTCTTCCAAGGACACGGAGTGCAAAATGCTATGGGGTCACGGAATAAGAAGAGAGAACAGTTTCAAAGTTAAAAATTACCTAAGACGAATCCTTGGTTTTGTCACTTGCATTTCTTGTACACAATTTTCTGGGTAAGGGGACAGTATTTTTTGTCTCCAAGTATTCCTCAAATGTCCATCTGTCTTCAAATTTTTAATTTGCAAATACAGAATACAGAGCAGGGGGGACAGGGGGGCAAATCCTCCTTAGGAAGCAAGCTTTAGGGAAACTAAGCTAGCAGTTGCTGTGAGTGTCAGTGCTGCTGCTGGCTCAGTATCCATGGAAACTTGATTTCCCATCTTGCTGCAGGAATTAATTGAAGATCCCAATCCACTTGCTCAGGGAATCACTGTGATATTAACTCACATCCTGCTATAAAGCTCACTTTAATATCTCAGATACTCTTTTCATCAGAACAAAAGGTTCAATTAGCTTTCACCAACTTAAAAGAAAGTAAAAAGGCCATCTAAGTCTTTACTGCCTCAAAACCAGGGCAGAGAACATAGACCTACATCTAGAATTACATCTTGGAGATCTACATCTTTCAAATGGAACTTGCCAAAAACGTCAGCAAGAGAGGGCACAGAGTCAGGAATGCTCTATGCAAATCTCATGTCCAACATCATATAGTTACCTCTATGTTTCACCTACGCCAGTAGCTGTATTAGTATTATCTTGTGGGGAAAATTCACTGTCCATACTTCAGTATCAGACCATAACTTTGTCTTCCACAGTATGTTCTTAAGATATACTGTGCAAAGCTTCAAAGAGAATAAGCCAAAAGGGACTTTTGCTGGGGAACATTGTTTCCAGACTTCTCTTTGAAGACTTTTCATTAATTACAAACATAAGCATGTCACCTTCCCTCAAGGTCTGCTTCTGGATCAAACATCTCTGATTATCTACTTTTGAACTTTCTTTCCTCTAATTTCCTGTTGAATTCCCTAGTTGCTGCCACCATTCCCTTTATTTTTTCCTGATCCCCAAATCATCTTATCTGCTCTACAGCCTTATTTTCTCCATTTTCATCTTTCGGATGCTTTGTATTTAGCACCTGGTCCTTCTGTAACCATGACAACTACATCACGATATCAGCAAAGGATCTCACTATGACCTGAGGAACCCAATCTCATCAAACGCCAGCTTGAACTGATGTTTAGTGTCCTGTACCCGGGGGACAAGTTTTGTTTTGAGTTTTCTATATTTTATACGTGATCCAGGAAAGGCCAATTTCTTATGTTAACCCGTATCCTTCACACAATTGTCCTCCATCTTCTGTTTCCATTGTTGACACACTGACCCTCCCAAAAATGTGGACCACTGAAGGAATGTTACCACATGAAAGATGGCGAGGATATTATCATAGACTGAGCACAGTCTTTGGATTAGATCAAAGAAGTTATGCTGTGTTGCTCTGTTACATCTCCAACACTGACAGTTTATAAGCAATTGGTCTCAAACCGTTAATTACAGGTGCTGTGAAAACTGCATACACTTTGTTACAGAACAGTTTTGGATTTCTGGACATAGCTGAACACTACTGCTTTCTCTGAATGGCAAATGCAGGCAGGGGAAAAGTGAAAGTAATATTTTGAACTGACTTGGTGGTAACTCAAGACATATTAGATAGATAGTTAGGAGGATGAAGAAATACCACAGACCAGTGGAAGACCGCTGAAATGCAAGGACACCAGTATTCTTAAAGGAAATAATTTCCCCTTCTAGCTGGACTTACAAATTACAAATTGTGTTATATTGTTACTCACCACCACGACTGAGAAATCCATCTGTGGTTAATCACAATAACAATTCTATGAAATGCTGCATTATGTAGAGTACAAATATGCAGCAATGCATCAGTAGAGTACTACATGCACGCTGGACCAGGTCTGTAGTTCAGACCAGGCAATGTTGCTTCTAGAATTTTTGCCTTTTCCCGGTGAATAGAGAAGAGAGGGAAGAGCAGTAGTTGTTGTCGTCTTGGATTTTTTTATGCTTTATCACAGTATTTTCAGTTACCATGTATGCTATGAAACAAATCAGATACTTCAAGTGAAATCTAATAAACACATTAATTTTAGACACGTTGCAATAATGAATCCTACAAGCTAGCAATTATGGTGTTGCAGACTTGTGTCATGGGGACAAACCTTCAGCTCTTGCAATGAAAACAGGTCAATTCACTTTTTCTTATTCCCAGACTAAGGAAGCCCAAGGAATTGATTTTTATAGAATACAAGAATTTGACAACACCTCCTCTTGTACTTGTTAAATAAGAGGAAACACAATGTGCCTGTATTGAACTCACGCTGTTAACGTTCCCATGTGCACTCCCTTTTCACTTCAGTGGTACGTGACCAGGACTTTTTTTGCGTTGCATTCGATAAACATTAAATCCTTTGACAAAAAAACATCACAGACATATATTAACTACCTAATCTCTCACCCTACCTCTTCAGGAAGTTATTGTTCCTGAATATATTTTTTTCCTTTTATTTCTCAAGGTTGATCTGTGACAAAAATTTCAAACTAAAGCACAAATCGTGCTTCAAAGAAAATTTGAAGGCAAAATTTACTTCCAAGTATTGAAAGAGAAACCAATGCTTAAGTATACAGTAAGCTAAAATTCACAATCTTCCAATAGGAAAAGTCTCACAGTAGTTAGAAGAGTCGTAGACTTACAGGATTTTCTTCATCTTGATTGTAAAAGCTGAGGAAATGACTGTGATTGTAATAACACACAAACACATCACTAGAGGCAAGGTTCCCCTCCCATTTCATGACTGAAATAGCCCAAATCTGGACTGTATCCTTATCTTGATTTTGGATCTGCTTAAACTGCTCTATTATTGAATGCTAAGAATTTTTACTGGAAGCTGAGCAAGAACTTTAAAATCAGCATGACTGAAAACTCATTGCTGCTTCCTCATTAATATGCCAGAAGGACTGTCTGACATTTCTATGGAATGTCTGTGCTCTTGGGACTGATGATTCAGTGCAGAGCTGTTTGGAATTTCTACAAAAGTTCAGCCCTCCTCCCTTCTCAAATGGCTTAATTTTACCAATCTGCCAAGTAAAACTAAAAATAATGAGTTTGTGTGCAATTACAAGGGGAAGGATGGAAATTTCACTGCACAGTGTATTAGGTAACTCATTAGAAAGCAGAAGCTGCATTTTCAAAAGCAGTGTGAAATATGTCTCCCATGTTTAATTATTTTTTTTTCTGCAGTTAGATGCTAAAATTTTAAGGTGCATAGTAATACCCAAGTTAAAGGAGGATGCAATTAAGATTTCTGTGAGGTCAATTTGATGAAAAAGTGTTCCTTGCTTGTCAAGAGTTTCATGAAAGATAGGACAAAAACTGATTAGGGCTAGCAACTCAAATTCAGTGGTGATTTCCACTGGAGCCTGCTAGCCCAGGAGAAGAAGCAGCTTAGCCTCAAGAGCTGACAATGATTCTAATAAACAGGTAAACTCGAAGTCCAAACCCAGTGCAGCTGCTCCTGTAATCATTCTGCACAGGTCAACTGCTATTGGAGCAAGTGGGGATATGAAATGTCATAGACATATACAAAGAGGAAAATAATCACATCATTTTTGCATATGCCCAGAAATATAGTCAAACACTTTCTATTTACAATGTAAACGTTTCAGGTTTCAACTGCTGAGTTTAGGAATGGCCTGACTCATTAGGAATGAGCTGACTAAAACAGAAGAAAATCTGCTTCCTTCACAAGGACATCAGAGAGTTGGAAGGATGGCAGCAGGGGTTGAACTAGATGATCTTTAAGGGTCCTTCCAACTCAATCCAATCTATGATTCTTTAATTCATTGCATTGGCAGGAAAAACTGAGAGCAAGGGGGTAAAAAAGAGAAAGGCTCCACCTACGTAAGAGTCCACTTTGGGGAGGAAAAAACCTGCCACGCTGAATTTCAAAGCCAAAAAGGATTTCAACTCAATCCAAAACAGAGACTCAAGCCCATTACTACTGTTATGAAGTTACAGCTAGAGACCACAGTTCATCAGCTTCAGACTTATGTTATCCAAAACACCAAATATAAAGATGCCACTAGAACCCTGCTAGCTGACTTCCTCTCTTATCCCAGCCACTACAGCTGCTAGCTCCCAACCATCTACTTTACCTGCTAGCTGGGTCTATGGAAGACAACTGTTACTGATAGCTACAGAAAATTCTTCTTACAATCCATTTCTACCTTGTAATTTCACATATCCTCCGCCTGTTGTCTGCACCACAGGTTTTCCAGTAAGTAAGCAGAGTTCTTGCTACCCGGCTCTGCAGGACAATTTTTATTCCCTGACGACTCTAATGTTTCGTGCCTAGGTACAGTAGCTACGTACTACTGATTAAACATTTGTGCTTCTGCACATGGACTGAGAAAAAGATAGTTCACCATTCTCTAACTTTGCACATATGAATGCTTTCCAACCTCTGTCCTCCCCAAATGTTATTTGCAATTACAATTCCGGTAGGTCGCCTAGATGCTTTAACAGCAACGGTATTTTATTCTGCAGGAACAAAAATGCCATCTAACAAATACGCTCATGATATGAATCCAAATCCTCAGGTAACAGCTGGGAAGCAGACACAACCTGAGAGTGAGGAACATTTATGTTCCCGTATAATGCCAGGACAAACCAGATTCCCAAAATTTGCCTTATTTTTGCATAGCAGAAATAGCAGGACTCTGTGTTCATTTTCATGTATTTATTCATTCAACAATGGAGAGGGGGAAAGGCAGAAGACTAAACACCTAAGACATGAAGATAAACTAAAATTATATAGGAGCACAATTTGAAAAGATAACAAAACAGCATTTTTAAAAATAATATCCACAGGCATCAGTAGCAAGAAACTGAGGGGGGAGAAAGGTATGTAAACTCACTAGCAAAGAACAAAAAGCCATACCTTCAATGAATAAATCTATAAGCCTGTTCTGATGACACATGTAGATTTAAATTCAAAGTATCTGAGACATTTATCTGTCAAAACAAACTGGAAATAAAAAGTGAATAAATAGCCTCCAGAACCTTTCTCCCCCACCCACATCAATAACTAAACCTTATCACAGCAACTTTTTCTTTAGAGGTGCCATCATAGACTTGTGATCAGCTGTTCCTGGCAGTACCACTTACCAGAGAGACCCACATGAGATAGCGACAAGAAGTGGCATTCAAAATTTAGTCCTTGGATGATGCCTTTTTGGTCTCAGCAATCTTCAGCAAGCTGATACAGCCTGAATAGACGTAGTAAAATGAGCTTTCCCAAATACTCTTTAACTCAAAGAGAAGGGCTGTCTTTCCATGTGTATTACCCTGATATGTCAGAAGGGAACTTAGCCAGGAAAGCCACTTCTAGTGGCAAAGGACAAAATAATTGAGAAGAGAAATAAGGACTAGTTGCCACCCTGTGGAATGAGAGTACATCTGCATTGTTAAAACCTTTTGCATTATACTCTGGATAGAAATGGAAGATAAGCAATGGCCCCTTTAAAATAGGCACTTCAAAAAAGAGAATGTTAAAAGATACCTAAGAAGAGTCTGGGTATTAAAGAAAGCACAACACAAGACCTGTGTTTTGTACATTTAAGTCGTTACACTGCAGCAAGTGACCAAATTTAATGACTACAAAAGTAAGTGACAGAATTCCAACAACTGCTCTTCTTAGGAAAACTCCATTAACCCAGTATTTAACACCACTGTGCTTCAGCACATGGGTAAAAAGCTGACAAGTGTCATAATGAGGCATAATGAGGCGTTTTCCAATGTGTGTTTAATTCCAAACTACCCTCTGGTCATCAAATAAACTGAGCAGTATCAGAGATGGGAAACTGCACTACCTGAACCAATTCAGTTTGCATTGGCCTTTTCTCTGCTTTCCCTTTTCAGAAGTAGTAGCCTTCCTGCACTACAGTGGTTCCAGCCATCAGTTACCTTATTCTTGTGGTAAATACAGAATGGTCACAACAGCTGGCTTTTACAAAAATTAAGCTATTAAATGCTGCTTAATTCTATTTAATGCAATATATTCATCGCCCCAAATAAGCAAGCGATAGCAGCAATGTTGTAATTTCCATTCAGTTGCTAGATTTCCCAACAGAGCCTAGGAAAAAGGAAAAAATTGGAAAAAAATCGGTGGTTTGGTTTTGGCTAAACTTACATCAGCACACAACATTATATAAAACCAACATTGACTGTTGACAGTAGAGACCCTTTTTATGTTAGCTCTATACTGGCAGACATAAATACACTACATACAAGGCTTAGCCACAAAAGCCCATTCCTACCTCCCTCAATAATAAGTTAATTTCTTATAACTCTTTAAATCATTACTAAATGTTTCATTGAATGCACTACATGCTCTTGGGATGGGGCACGTCAGGATAATCCACAACTCGTACTTGAAATTTAGCACCTGCCCAAAAGCACTGTGTTGGTTCACCAAATGCTGATCATATGATGGGAAAATAGAAACGAATATATTTTATTCTTCTTGCTTTTCCCCCCAAAATCTGACATTCAAGAATCCCCAGGACTACTCTAGATTCTATTTCTCTTTCCTACAGAAACATCCTGGTATGTCCTGGATCCACCTTCAATCTGCAAGTCTCCATCTATGCTGTTGCAAAGAAAAGAACTTCTCAAATTAGAAAGAATCTCATACTGTTACATTATGCTCTAACATCAGCTTTTCCATGTAAGAATGTCAAAATCCCACGGACCCATATTATCCTGTATGGTTAACAAATATGAAAAGTCAAGTTCATTTTGTGAAATGTGTGCACCATTAATTAGGTCACTGACTTTAAGAAAACCCCAAAAAACCAACCAACCAAAAAACCAAGCAAATCTGTGTCTGTTCTTCAGAATGCTAACTCTCTGTTGCCATGGTCACAAATTACCATAGTAACATTAGATACATCTGTATTTTTAGATTAAAGTTGCTTCTCTTTTCAGAGAAAATAGAGCCAACTGAAAGAAAATACTCATCCTTACCAGGAAATACTACTAAAATCCAGAGTATAAAGTAGAGCAACACACAATTGCAAAAGCTGGCGGGGGGAAGAGGGCTGTGGAGAGGGGGGAATCACAAACATTGCCATTTTCAGAGCTGCTTCCCACAGCTAGAAAATGGCTTGAATGTACCGCAAAAACTAAAACGTGAGGACAGTTATTCTGCAATGCTATTGTCTCAGCAAGCCCCACTGGGCAGTGGCTCAATTAGAATGCCCAGAATAGCCTTTTCCGTCAGAGGTTAACAGCAGTGTTATTTCATATTTCTCCATTAAGAGCCCCAGGTTGTTTTCCCCCTCACCCCCAAGGAGGACCTTCACTCATACCTAGGAAATATTGCTGTTCAACTGCCATAATTGAACTAACTGTTACTAGACCTGTCTCTGCTCCCTCATGTTCAGTGGTTTTATGTTATGCTTACACCCTCTAGTGGACAAAAAGTAATTCACAACCCTCCTAGTGCTGTACTGCCTTCAGATCAACACGGTGCTAACAGGGGACTTGGATGTTAAAATGCCGAGTCAAACTCGAGCATCTCTAATTTGAGATTCATTTCAGAAATAATCTAAGAGAGGAGTCAGAAATTACGAGTTCATTAATGCAGTGCTTTCCCAAATAAGGCAGCAACACAAACACAGAAAGTTTATATTCAATACTAGGTTTGACAATCAGGAAAATTTCTCTCCATTTTATAATTTTAGTCAATTTTTTCTTTTTGGTAAGTTACTAAGCATTACTTTTGATAAAAACTTAGTTCCTTGGTATGTAAAACTTCATATGCTTGCCATCCAAACTAACTTTCCTCCCAAACCTGCTACAAAGACCACGACTGAATGCCCTATCTTTGAAAGTCAGTATAGCAATGCATTTCCACTGCTGCCAGAAATGCTTTAGGGTTTTACATAGCCTCGACAGTTATATATTACAGAAGACTTGAGCTTTTGCTCCTTTAGTGTTCACTTATTTTTGCATTATTCCCATAAATGCTGCTTCTAACATTATTTGGTTAAATGCTGATAGAATGCTCTTGACCAAAGGGTCTGCTGTAAGCACATTTCAGCCAGAAACCACTGCAAGAAAAGGGAAATATGTCAAACTATGCTATTTGCAATAGATCCTTACATTCCACCTGGGAATCTAGCCTTAGGCCTTGTTGTACCATTTACACATATCAATGTAGGTCATAGGTTTAAATAACAAAAGAAAAAGCTAAATGACAGCTCTAATACAGTATATTTCACATCTCCAGTCAGTAAAATGGAAGCCAGCCCTTGCTTAATAAGAGTAAACATAAAAAACAGAACCAATTCGCAGAAGAACAGGAGCTCTGAAAGAGAGCGAGAAAGTAACGGATCGTTTGCAAGGAGCTTTAGGCAAAGATTTTAGGCGTATATAGCAATGACCTAAATTTACCTGCAAAGTTGCAAAAAAAACCCACCACAATTTGCCACTGTTTCTTTTCAATTTGTATTATTTTAATTCCTGTTATCATCTATAATAGAGCACTGTAAATTCTGACACTGAATTGTGGGATTCTGCAGATAACTGCATATGAGCATAGCTAAGTCCGGTATTTAGTTCACCCAAAAATGCAGGCTTTGGCAGGGGGCAGAGGGTAGAATTTCCCAGGCAAACATATCCTCTGAAGCTTCCTGCTAATGCTTCTCCAGCGTAACACATCTACAAAAGTGACGAGAGATACTTGATATTCATCTGGTCCTCCCTGCAGATCAGTTGCCTGCTGAGGTAAAACTTTATTGTTCTGAAAGGATGAAAGTTTGAAGAATCTCAATGTATGTAGCTCAAGCCCAGTTTGAAAGGGATGGGGGGGGGCAGGGGAAAGCAAAGGGGGAAGGGAGGGAGGGAGGCAGACAGAGACTGACCCCAAGCGAGAAATCAGGCTCAAAAAAGAAATCAAGCTCTCATCTGTACAATGCACAGTTTAAGTGTTGCTTGAGGCTCAGAAAGTTAGCAGTATTTAGTGGACAACTCTGTAAAATACACAGCTCATTTTCTACTCTAATGCTATCTATCTCACAGGACAGGTTCTTAGCTGCTATGCAGTTATTGTGTCCATTTACTGTTAAAACCAACTGTTTCCACAATTAATCTGCATACCTCAAGATCTTTTTTGAGGCCTCTAGGCTTTTTAGCAATACCTATAAGGAACGTTAAGAACGAGTTATGTTTATAGTGTCTTGCAACAGAGCCAAATTCTAGATGAAAAGTGACCAGGAAACATTTCTCCTCAGTAACACTGAAACACATTCCCATACAGCATATGCATTTCTGCACATATTATGAGCTCTTAAGCATTAAACTCAACAGGTTCCAGGCCAGAAATAGCACACAGGAACTGGCAGTGGGTGGCCCTGTACTGAATTGTGAGGTTGAACTAGATGACCCCCGGAGGCCCCTTCCAACTCTGACCTGAATCTCTATGGTTCTACAAACTCATGTAACTCATGCAGTGCTTTCCTGGCTTTTCACATCTCTGGCTTTGCAAGACAACTCACAAAGCAGCACCAAAAGATGCTTCAGCCAGACAGCACATTACAAACTCCTAGTGGCTACAGCGAGAAAAGCTATAGTACAGACCAGTTACACAGAGATGTCATTCAGCATCTGCCCAGCAAGCAGTAATGTGACAATACGTGTTGTCACATTAGAATACAACTTTTTTTTTTCCCCCAGATATCTCTCTTAGGGAGCAATTCACACTTTCCAGCATTATATGCAACTTTGGAAGACAGAAAGCAAACAGCTAAATTCAACAGCTGCTCTCAAACACACAATGACACTTCACAGTTAACTTGTGAGCCTCCTTAATACAATGCTATACGTAGATCAGAGAACCAGCACAGCTCTCCATAGATATCTTACTTTTCTCCTAAGGCACTAAAGTTCCTGCTGATTAAGATGGCACAGAACAAATAACCATTTCTGCAAAGTTGTGGTTCTCTAGAAATCTTGCTTTCTAAGGAAGTATTTTGTGAGGGAGTCATACTTCCAAGAGGGATGTATAAAAGAAAGCCCAGCACCGCAAGAGCACAATGAATGGAAATCAATTCACTAAAATGAGGGAAGGTGAAACTTCCCCAGAACAAGCTTTGCAATTTTAAGAACACCAGCACCCCTCTCTATATATACGCTCTACCTACTAAGGAAATCACTCTAGTCTAAAGGAAATCAGTCCCAAAAATGTAAAGCTGGAGAATCACAAACTCGATTTTAAAAAAGTAGGTAACAATGATGTTTAGGTAAAGTGTAAAGGTTTAAAACCTGACAGTTGTTTCCCCTGTATTTTCATATTTCTTACCCACCACGGAGGATTACTGCCAAACAAGAAAACATTTTTCCCTTTTATGCAACAAATCATTAAGTTTCTCACACAGGAAACCACATTTCAGTATTTTCTTTTCCAACAGCAAAACACTGACTCGTACTACCACACAGCATGAAAATAAAACATTTCTTTTCAAAAGGCAGTCATGGCTTCAACTTTGTATGTCATGGTACAGGTATTTTAGGGTAACTTTCAGGCACACGAAGTTTGACACACACATACCACCCTCTTCAGCCCCCACCTTCAAGTATCATTTTCTGTTACTGCACTTCTCTCTATGGCCAGCCAGATTAGGAAAAGGCTCTGAACATTCACCAAACACAACAGGGTTCTACTGGTAGGTGAAGATTTAACCATTTGCTTAATTGCATGATGAAGCCCACAGATGATACTGAAGAGAAACTACATTCCAGCATTTCCTGTTGAAAACACCGAACAGCAGCTGATAAAAGCATTTTATCAAAACAGCACATTCAGCGTTCTCATTAACAAGAGAATTTCTATGCAAGACAGTGCATCCAATGCAGAACTATATCTAGAAACTCAGTAAGAGGTCACGTGGGCGGTGGTAGATCTGCAGTGGCTTTGATCAAGCAAAGCACAATCTAGCAGTCACATTCGTACTAGAAGAAAACAGTATCCATGCTAAAACATTGGTCTTGCTCTGGGTAAGTTCTGCTGCTTGACATCATCAGCTTCATATCACACACTAGATAGTCCCTGACTCTACTGTAGACACCCTCTTGCAACCAAAAGCCAATTCCCCTGTATAAACAAAAGTCAGAGTAAAATTGACCCATATTTACCCACAAGGTAACGATATCAAGCATCAATGCTAAGTAAAAGCTCTTAGCACAAGCCCCAGCTCAGGAAGACAAAGATTAATCCAAATACTAGAACTGAACCTTCAGAAATTCTTTCTGTGCTTCAAAGCAGAAAAGCCATGACAAATAAATGGATTCTAGAGAAGATTCTGGAAAGTCGCTCCATGGAAATCCAGTAATCGTAGAATACCACAGTGCATGCACAAGGAAAGGGCAAGCAGATCAGCACAAGGGAAGACTTGGCTTCCAAATCAAGTCCCTCACAATGATTTACATAAATAATTTGCTATGCACAATTTTAATTTTAAAAAAGTAAAAATCAAGAAACATGGTCATGGACATACTTGGTACATAAAGAACAATGGTTCTCTCTTGCTCAGTAAAGTCTAGGACAGAAATTCCTCACAACTGGATCTTCCACACAACCATGAAAGATTTTATCTGTTGTCTGGAGAGAGGAATTTAATTTGGAAACAGAAGTAGTCCTGCTTCAGGACATGCATTTGCATGTGCTAGTAAGACATGAATATGAAGTTTTCTAATAAACTAAAAAAGAACAAAATAATTGGGGTTTTTTTATGAAACGCAGAACCAAATCAAGGATTTTCTACTGGCTTCTGGATAAGGGCTTGTGGATAATTTAGGACATATATTTCTGACAAGACGCAAGTTTCTAACGTGGACTGTAAAGTTTAAATTTTTTAAATCTACAGAAAATAGTAAACCCAACTTAACTGGCTTCCTGAAATAACTGGTGAATTCAACAGCAAACAATCTGTCACCAAGACAATGGAAAACAATAAAAAAATGCAGTCCTAATCTTCAACTTTATAAACTTTTGAAAGGCTATTCTCTAGGACAGAAATACTTGTGGAGCATTAGCTGCAGAATTGCTTTTATACCTTGTCAACAGCAAAATACTGGGCTCTGTGAAGAATTCACTGTAATTTCAGAAATGTGACAGCAAAAGTATGAGACGCAAACACCTGCATGTAGGAGCCAGGTTCCTTTGGTAACTAATTTCAGTGAAAATTAAGACCATCAAGTATTAATTCAGACACCCGTGTCTATAATGGTGCACTTTCATTATAGATCTTGGTAACAGGAACCCTACTCTTAAATTTCATTGGCTCAGCTGGTACGTGTACAGGGGTCCTCCCCATAACAACGTTCAAGAGACTAGCATGGCTTGTCATTATGCAAATTTTTTCTGCAGCACCACAATTTCCCTCCCACAATACATATTCTACATTCCTTGTCGTTTTCTGTCCCAAGCGTTAAGTATTTCTTGAGTCTCAGGACATTGATAAGCATGGCACATGTCAGACAGAAAATCTGTGCAAGGGCTGCAGCAGGATAAAGCAAGAGGACAGATTAATTAGTATTAACCAGTATTGTGCCCTAGTGCTTGCTTTTTATCCCCCATAAACGAAATCCTGAAGTTAGAGGAACACAACTGTTAATTCAACCAACTGTTTCAGTTCTCGTGTCCTGAGGATTGACTCTCCTAAAGCTGAGAAGTGAGGGCTTCTGAAATTGTCAAGTATGCCCACAGACTATTTTGAGACAGATTTTCCCCAGACATCTTCTAGAATAAAAGAATTTGTCTGAAGTAACAGGCAAGACAATGACAATGAGTTCAACTGCTAAATGGCAAAGCGAGTATGTTTGCCATCGAACTGCATGAGACCCACCTCATTCTGATGCTCTCACAGGAGTCAAAGTGAGCATTAGAACCTGAAATAAAATTCAAGCAGTTTCACAAAGCCAAAACTTAAGAGACGCTGAACTTTCCTTCTCAACAGTAACTTCTACCTACTCTATCATATAATGTGCTTGTAATAGCACATTTCCTTTATCAGTTTTTCCAATTATCTCCCTTCCAGAAAAAATAAAATAAAAACCAATCTCCTCATCTTCCAGTATGAGTAGTGGGAATCTAGCATATACCTCCCATGAGCCAGTCCTTTATGTTCAAAAGCACTCAGCACACATCACTTCAGTCACTTTCTCAAAGGTGATGGACATATTAGGTACAGTCCATTCTTAAGGAACACAACTCAAGGTGGGCACTTCTTAACAACACACAGCTGCAGGAGAATACCCAGAGCAAGATAAGACATTTTAGATAGCCACCCACCCTGCGGAACTCAAGTGTCTAGTATTTTTCCAGCTTCTGTGCAATGGATGTCTCTAACCCTAGTCAGTTTTCCCAGCAAAGATTCTCAACTAGAGTTATACAGTGGGAATTCCAAAGCAACTGGCTATGTACAGACATATCAGCATTCTCTCCAACAGAGAGATGAAAAGGAGAAAATTCCTGAGGATTTGTATCCTCTACTCTGCCTTCTGAATCCCAGCCTCCCCCTTGCCTTGGAATGAGCTCTGTAAAGCAGTATCGGTTATGTACAAGAATCTCAGCTCCCTTCCTTTGGAGAGTTTCCCCACAAAAGCGATAGGCAAATCCCAGGAGAGAGACAGGTGCTGAGAGGGGGAGGTCGCCTTAGGATGACTCGCCAGAAGCAAGAGAGCCAGCAGCTTTCTTCTTAGGGCGGGCTTTTACACTTCTCACTGGAAGCTGAGGAGAAATAAAAAGAGGCATCTTAGGCTAGTTTATTTTAATGCCTAAATGTGTAACAGAAAGATGCAAGAATGGAGTAAAAACAGAATGAAAGAACTACAACATGACCCAATTGTCATCTGTTGTCTCAAAATGTCTATTTAACCTTTTTTGGTTGGTTTTTTTTTTTCAATAAACAAATCACTCAACATATCCATCAAATAGCAACCAAGAAAAGGTATTCTAAAACAAGGTACAGTAGTAAAATCAAAGCCAGTTATCCAAACAAAAGGTTAAACATAGATACTTCTGACTGGTAACATTCACATAACATATCACTGCTCTAACTTTTCTGCTTAACTTCCATCACCAGTGCAGTTCTCTGAAAGCTGTAGAAACATCCTGAACTAATTTGCACACTTCACTTCTGTGTCTTTCATTCTAGATATTGGTAAGAAGAGCACATTTATTCATCTATGATGCATTCAGCCCTGGCTGGCAATCTCTCAAAGACCTCCTATAAGCCCTGCATCTGACCCAAAGATCCAACAATCTGAGCATAAATACCAATACGCCTGCAAAGGGCTTTATCAGTACTTCTGTATTCACAACCAACAGCATAGAAGAGCTCTTTCTGTCTTTTTATAATTTCACTTTGAAAAGTCCTCACTAGGAAGCTTCCACTCAAATTTTGAGCCTCTTGTTTCCCTGCTCCTGTCTAATACAGAAGACAAGAAAGAAGAGGGGTCAACTCAGAAATAAGCCATAGAAAGATCCTAGATAAATTAAAATGCATCTTTGGACACAGATGTCCATTCTTGGAGAAAATCAAACGCCACCTGGACCTGGTCCTGGGAACTGGCTCTACACAAGCAGTGGGTTTGAACCAGGTGAATTCAGAGAACCCCTCCAACCTCAATTATTCTGTGATTCTATTACAAGGAGCGCTTAAGCACATGCAAAGGTTTCCCGTATACTGTAAAATTAGGTTAACAGTACAACTTAAAATCATGCCCTAAGCAATTACTTTCCTTCAAACTATTTAATATTTAGCCTGAATAGCTCGACAATGCGAATCAGTTATATAGCATTCTTTATCTTAGACAAAAATAATAACATTAGAAGTCCAAGTTGAATCAAGCAAATAGGACCGTAACTTCATAAAAAGGGAGAAGCATTTTATCGTGTACAAATCAAACCATAAGAAACACTCAAGCAAGTGTCAAGACCTGGAAAGCAGCACCTCAAAAAGCACTTTCTACAAAACACACCTGAAAACATTTGAAAAAAAGATTGCTAAGCTCAAGTGATTCTTGGACACAACTGCATTTACTTTCCTGTATGGTTTATTTTAATATTAAGAAATCAGGCATCTCATGTCCCATCTGAATGGCTGTAAATACCTTGGATCATCATGTGAACATAAGGAGATGACTGAGCAATCACTAGTTACTCAAACTTTGAGAACAAACTCCAGGAATGGGGTAGGTGAGGACTGGTGTAATTTCCCATACCTAATGTGTAAACGTCAAGGGAGGCCTAAGAGGGTACACAACTGCTGCATTTAGATTAAGAGAAAGTGGCTGCCCTAGGGATAAATGTTACTATTATGTATTCAGACTGTAGCAGATAGGAGAGAGGATATTGTCAACAAAACACGGTAAAAATATCCAATTCTCCACCCTTCAATACAAAACCCAAATGAAAGAAAAGCTGGGTTCTGGCTTATGACAGAGGCTTACAGGCATGATAAAAATGCAAAAGCTAGAGACAAGTATAGCAAGTACACGACAGGTCCTCTGATGTAGGACTCAACTAGAAAAGACAGTCTAACAAAATTTATACATACAGCTTTTAAATGCTGAGACTATAAAGCTAGAGCCTTCCACCCAAGTTCAAAAATCAATGTCAGTGCTGGAAATTATCTACACACCAACTCACTTCAGTTTTCATCACCTTTTTAGGAGTTTTGAGACTCTGGGTACGTTTAGGAAGTTTGTCTCCTGCATCTTCATCTGATGGGTCTGTTCTAGTATCTGATGGGGTTCCATTAGATCGATGTGCCACACTGCTCTCCTCTCCTGAGGAGTAACAGGAAGCTAAGGAACAAGAGCAAAAGTTTTAGCAAATACTCTTAAAAGAATCTCATGAGGTTTAAAATGGCCCATCCTCAAGGAACACGACAGAGAGCCCATCTAGAATAAAGACTATGGGATAAGTATGGGACAAGTATAGAGACATATATGAAATGAGAAGGCTCTAGGGAAGACAGTGCAACTTCTCATCTTGTAGTCCTTTCTGAGACCCAAGGCTCAGGGAAGCCCTCCTGGCTCACAGTCTGAGGTCTCACACAATGGCCCAGCAGCTGCTCTGTACCTGAGTCTTCAATAGTTTCCAGAAGACTCGCAGCAGAGGGGTGCAGCTGTGGATCACGGCTTCGCATATGCACATTATCTTCATCTCGGATCAGAGTGAGATCCTGCATGCTGAAACTTCGAAGCTTCTCAGACAAAACTCCCTGGCCCTAAGAGGACATAAAATTAGGGTGAAAGGCACCTCATCAAGATCATCTCACATGGGATCAAAGGTGCCCTATTCCCCACTAGGGTACTCTGAAAAAAACAGAGAAGGGAAAACAACAAGTAAGAGGTTAAAGCAAAATTCATTCCACTCCCCCTCTACTTTTTCTAAGTCAAAGGATGGGATTATCTGCAGGGCAAACTGGAAGGAAGGAAAAGTAGGTTGCTGCCAAACAAGTACTAGTATCCTTAACAGACCCACAACACCTAACTGCTGGTACACAAAAATAAACTGCTGGAGAATTCATGAATATTACAGAAGGCACTGTATTACCTTTGCAGCTGCAGTAACTGCTGCATTGGCAGCAAGGTTTAACCCTCTCTTGCCAACTCGCATCATGGTTTCGTAGCTCTTGTCACAAGCCTGAGTAATGTATTCATCAATTTCCTAGGAATGCAACATGGAATATGGCATTTAGCTGCTTGTACAAACACGATCAAAGTTTCCCCATCATCCCCCTTAAAAACACAAAGCTCATCTGACACTCTTTTTTCAGGCTACTAGCATCAGGTGTCATTGATCAAATAACTTGAGTTTCTCTGCTAATTACAGAAAGCATGTAAATGCAGCTTTAAAATACAGTATGCTATTTCCAAATTATAACAACTGAAACAAAGCAGTTGCTTATACCAACAATGTGAAAAAACAGACTGGCCACAGAATATGCTTCTCCTATTGTGATTCAAAAGGTTTAGCTACTGACAGTGACTGTAAGGGCTCATGACACTGGGTTAGCCAAACATGCTTTCTAAGCATTAGGCAAACTATTGGCTACACTGCAATCTTCAGTAAGCTGCAGTATGACATCACTGTCAGACACAGAATCATTCTATGTTCACTAAGGTCAGCACAAGCAAGATTCACTGATTTCAGTTTTTATTGTGGCATAACTGAATTAGAAGTCAGTCAGTTCCCAGACAGGTCAGTATCTACAAACAACAAGCAAGTACCTTCTCCTTATTGGAGAGCGTTGGGTGCACAAACTTCCTGTAGAGGACACTGGAGCCCTTGGTGTAAGGGGAGAGCAGCCAAATCACAAATGCAATTTTCAGCTCGAAATAAAAGGGAAACCTGAGAGAAAGAGGAAAGAAAAAAAAAAAGGAAGAAGAAAGAGAAAGATGGAGAACTGGAATCAAGATCAGCACAGACAGATGGAGATAATTAGCAGAGAGCAGCACAGGCAGAAAGAGTGTAGGCAAGGTAAAGGCTCAGAAACAAGAGAATCGATTGTTCAGGTCAGAAAAGCAGAACCCTTTTTAGAATCCTAGGACATACCTTCTTCGAGTATCATTTAGTCTTTCATCCATAGCCATGAAAACTCCATAAACAGGGCATCTCTCAGCCCTGCAAACACACCAAATTACAATCTGATAGCTACTCTCATCATTCTGAAGTTTCTTCAGAGAGCATCCACAGGATGTTAATATCACATTAGCTTCCCTTCTCAATTTCCAAAACTTTCAACTATGTATCTTAGTAATGTCACATTTCTGCTAGAGCTGATGGCTGTTTCTGAAACTTCCAACAGATACTCCTCAGATAAGACACATAAGCAGGGCCAGTGTAAACGAAAATGAGCAGGCAGAACGTATGTCTGTCCTCTCTAACCCATACCCAATAAAGTCTGAGAAGATCCAATTGCAGAGATTGAAACAAGTGAATGCAAATTCTCTACCGACACAATTAGCAGGAAGAAACTTCTGTTTTCAGAAGTCCTTTAAGTGAATAAGCTGTTCTTATACTTTTTCGAGCTTTGTCTACTTTTCAGATTTTATGTAGGTAGAAACAAAGCTGCTGAGCACTTTTGTAAGGCATGTATAGTACTTCATGATTTGTAAGAAGATGAAAGTCTTGACTAACATTGTTTCAGAGACATATGCAAAGCTCAAAGATTAAAGCCATGAAGCAACTGAAGATACCCTGTTTCAAAGGTTCAGTTGAAGCCCTGTAACAATGAATTGTCATTTTTAGAGACCTCCATATTGCCAAGCATGACACAGAGCACTGAATGGAGTAAGAATCTGCTTCCTTCCATTCCAGTCTGTCCTGCCCTTCCTAGTGAAAGCGAAGTTCATCATGCAAACCAATCACAGCACCGACATGCATATGACCTGCTCTTCCACATAAAAGGCTGTCAAAGCAAAATAAGTTCCTTCCTTCATTTTTAAGGTGTTTTTTAGTCTATCATTTTTCAAACTGTACCAGTTCACATTAACAGCTCCTCAAAAATATTTCCAATTATGAATGGATGAAGATCCTTTTACAGATACCATTAATTTACCCTAACGTTGCAAACAAAGGAGTTGAAACAGCTAAGATGGCAGCTACTACCCACAGTATCGCGAAACCTGCTAATTCTTCACAGGGATTGAAAACTCCTAAAGGAGACAGTTTATTTTCTTAGCATCCTTACACTTCTCCTCTCTGCTTAAAAAAAAGGCAAAAACCAAAACCAAAGACACAGCAATAACAAAAAAACCCCCCACAACATGCCACTAAGGAACTCACCAAGAAAGAACAATGTCTGTAAGTGTTTCTGCAGTGGTGAAAAAGGCAAACACAATCCAGTACATCATCCACTTCACCTGCAAAAGAGCAATCATTCAACGGACATACATCAGAACCAGAAAGTAAAATGTCTTCTCAGTATAAATTACTCATCTCCACACATTAAGATGGATTCAAAAAGAAGGCATATATAATCTGTAATGGACACATACTAAACAGTACATTTTGGTCTGAGAAAACATGTAGGATTACTGTGCTCTAAATAAACACATACAGATACATTGATGAATGCATGCCCTGGAGCAACATTATAGTGCAACAGCATTAAGGTCCCAAATGACCCATCCAAAAGGATTTATCTGTTCACTTCAAGAAGTTACACTCTTCCGTATATCATGAACACCATAAAAAAATATATACACATACATATGTAAAAGCTTAAGTTTCAGCTGCAGCCCCGTATTTTCCTGATGTAACATTTTTCCTTAGGAAAAAAGAAAAACAACAAACCAAGAAACATATTTTGTGCCAACTCACTAGTAAGCATTCTTTGCTTTAATAATTACTCCCAGAAATCACACAAGCAATTAATTTTTCTTTTTAAATAAAGGCTCACTGAGAGAGGTAAAAAAGCAAAGAACACGCCACACCAACCTAATCTTCTTGTTTAAGGTTTAGAGTAGATGTATGTACTGTTATGACACATTTGGATGCCTTTTATGTACCCCTCTACTTCCTCACACCTTTATCTGGGACAGTACGTCTTTCAAGCACAAAATAATTCCCCCCCCTAATAAACACAGAAGCACTCTGCTGTTTTGGTAACTGGTTTCTCAGCTACAAGCCAAGAATTCATTCAGCTTACCACTCAAGACGGGTCAGCTGAATTATAAGGGAAAATTGCTAGTTTTCTACCCTGTTGAGAATTTTAAAAGAGCATGAGTAGCAGATAAATGAAGAGGACACCTCAATTAAGAAAAATTTAACACTCTCAGTGTCATCAAGAATGGGAAAAAAGAACTAAACAGAATCAGGGAAATGCCACATACTAAATCTACATATTAATCAATCTATTAAAATTACATGAACAATTATGTTCATACAATAAAGACATGTTGACAATCCTTGTTACAGTAAATACTATAAAAGCAGGTATTTCCCCAACCTTGCATGTGTTGGAAAATTTGGTGGTTTGTTCTGGAAAGACCCTCCACATGTTTCTCATAAAAGAAAATTAATCTGCCTCCAGCTGCTCTAACACAGTCAATGGTTTAGAGGATAGTGGTTAATAATCCAAATTATTTCCACTGTACTGCAAACTCTCTCTTTCACAACAGAAAATAGCATAAACTTGTATTGTATGGCTCTCTCCTGCCTTTTTTTTTTTTCTTGTATCATCAGTTTGGACAAGACCAGATGTCATTCAGCTGATCTAAAGCAACTTTTCGAAAAGAAAGATTAAGTCCTCGGTGCAGCAATGTGAATCAGCTCTTGTATGAAGAAGTGTGTGAATAATGATAAATCTAAGTTTGCAAAAAGGGATCCAAAAGGGTGAGAGATTTCAGAAAACCTATACACCAGTAAATCTTACTTCAGCATTAGGCAAAATTAAGGCAATAACAGTAATAAAAGCAATTAACAAATACCTACATATATGTAAGAAAACGAAGATTTTTTTAGAAAAAAAAAAAAATCACAAGTATAACAGAACTCTTAGGTTTCCGTAAGACTCTGCTAGCTACAGTGCTTTCCTTACAGGGCAAGGGTATATGAAGTTTCTAAGTAGTTTCTAACAGGTCTATACAAACACTTAAAGAAACAAAATCGTCAGGGGTAAAAATGAAGGGACTATTGAGCATTAACAATTGAATAAAAAAAAAAAGGAAACAAAGGATAAAAGTAAATGGCCACTTTTCACAATGAGGAAAGTTACCAGTGGAATCCCACAGGAATCAGTGTTGAGATCTGTGCTGCTCATCTTCATGAAACATCTGGAAAAGGTTGTGAATAATAAGATGACAAACTGTGCAGAAGATATTTTTCTATCCAAGAGATTAGGTAGGAGTTGATTAAAGAATTTAAAAAAGGATCCTGATTGATCTCTGGCTGACATTTTGTCTCTAAATGGGATTAAATACAAAGCAGTGAACTTACAGTGTCTCCATTTTCTTAGTGAAAACTATTGCATTTACATATATTAGTAGATGTCACTCAAAAGGGGTCACTGTAAGCAGCCTTAGTGTAAACTTGGTGCTTATTTTTCACTCTGCTAATAGAATGCTCAGGAGTATGAACTGAGAACAGAAAACTTTGTTTTGATACTGTTTAAATAAACTTCATGTTCACATCTTTGATATTGGACACAGGTCTGTTGCCTCTGTCTCCTTCTGGCACCTGCCACCCTATGCTCTAAAGCCAAAGAAAACAAGAAGTATAGCTCCTAAACAAACTAGAAGGATCCTACTCCTAGTTTTAGAAGTCCCTGCAGATGACCTGAAAGAGCAGCAAACAGATGGGAAGAAGCCCTCTTTTTTTTCTTACAACAGAGTACAAACACCTTTCAAAACTGTGGGTTGAATGAGGCTGCATTTTTTTTTTTCAGTTTACTGAGAGGAGTCAGGAGTCATTTGCTGCTCACCCTGATGATGACCAGCTTCAGGCACATATACAGTCTCCCCAACTTGCACCAAGAACCTAAACGAATTCAGCACACGCAAAAGCGTAACTGGAACGTAGACTTGACCAATGCTGAAGACGACATGTAAAAAGAAAGAAATTGCTTTTAGGACAATCTGAGCTACTAGAAGTAGTTTGCCACAACTGCTCAAGCATTTATCCTGAATTTTTATCATGGTGGTAGAGAACAGTAAATTTGCACTGCGCTCTGATGTCACTGACAAACTGTTTGTGGTAGCTTTGTCTGTGTCAAGTCAAGCTTCAATACACCACTTTAGCACAGATACACCTCCAAGACCTTTCTCCACCACCAAACCCTAACCAGTGATAGTTCGTAAGCACTATGAGCAAGCAGTAGCACATAAAAGAGCTAGATTTGAAAATGGGCAGTACAGCATTCAAGTTTTCTGCTGACTTTTCACATGAAGAACAGTTTGAACAGATATTGCCCCTTCTGCTATGTTTTCTCCCGTATTTCCACTTGCGTTGAAAAGGAAGAAGCGTTTCAAATGAAAGTGAATTAGACAGATGGCAGTCCAACATCTAACTGCTTATTTCTGATGCTGTCCTCTCAAGGAAAAATAATTTTTAAATAAATTTTAGCAGTTCAAATACATTTTCTTGAACCACTCTGCTGCAGCAATCCAGACTAACTACTTCAGGAAACCTATACCACTGAATCACTAAACAAAACCCAAAAAATTAATGCCATACTTTTCCACATCATAGGTCTTGTCTCAAGTGATCCACTTAGAACATCACTTCTGTAAGAAGGCAACACACTACCTCACAAAAAAACATCTGGTGTTGTAAATATGGTAATTGCATCAAGGGTGTAGAGAGGGAAACAGTTCCAGAAGGGAAGGAGAATGAAGTTTTAACCAACATAAAACACGGATTGCAAGCAAAGTTGATAGGAAGCCACAAACCGAGCAGGATTATTCAACCCTTTGGAAGAAAGCAAAAGTAGTACTGAAAAAGCAGTAAAGGACACAAGAAGGAAGGTTAAAATCACAAGAAAGAACTTGTCCTGGACTTTCATATGCTTCCAGACTGCAGCGTTTCCCCCACTTTCCCTTCGTCACTCAGCATCGCTGAGAAAATACAGCCCACATTTACGGGTTGAAACCTCCCATTTCAGTAAGCAGCCATCCTTGGCAGCTTTTCCAGAGACGACTGGAGCTGCTGCTCGGGCGGCCTGGCTGACCCGAGCCCCTGCGGTGCCGGAGTGCCAACGGGGGCTTGCGACGCGGCCGCGAAGGACGAGGCGGGCCCTGCGCGGCACGGTGAGCCTGTACTCACATATTCCTTTACGTTTTTCGTCTTCACGGCCTTGTAGGAGGAGTACGCGGGGTAGAGGGTGCCGAAGATCAGCCTACGAGAAGAACAGACCCCTCAGCGCCTCGCGACGCACCGCACCGTCCCCGGCCGCAGTGGCGGGCACTCCTCCCGGGATGCCGGCGCGACGCTGGTCTCCGGGCGGGGCTCGGCCGCCCTCACCTCGGCACCGCCCGTGGGCCGCAGCAGCCCGCGCGAACCCGCCCGTCTGCGGCCGCAGCCACCCGCGAGGGCGCCCGCCCCCCAGCCGCCCCTTCCCGTGCGTGGGGTCCCGGGGGGCAGCACCGACGCCACCGCCAGAGCCCCGCTCTGGGCCGCGGCCCCCGAGGGACCACCGAGGAAGGGCCCCGCGCGGCGGCCCACACCTCCCAGCGCCCCGGCCACACGCACTCACACCACGAGGCGGGAGATTATCCAGGAGACCATGGCGGCACCGGGCGCGGCTCAGGGCTGAGCAGCGGCGGGAGGCGGCTCTTAAAGGACAGGTTCCTGCAGCAGGCGCAGCTCCGCCCCGTGTGCTCGCATGGGAGGAGCCGGCGCGGCGGAGGGAGAGGCCGCAAGGCCCCGAGCATCCAGCCGCGCTGCGGAACCCCGCGAGTCGCGCTGCCCGCCGCCCGCTGGGGGAAAGCCCCGCGTTCGCTCGCACCAGGTCGGGAGGCGCGGCGGGAACGGAGCCACGCCAGCGGAACGGCAGCAGCGAGGTAGACAAGTGGCATTGCTGGAACGATCGCAGAGAAGCAACATGCGCAACGCAAGGAATATTACAGGAGAGTGCTGAATTGAGATCACGGGCACTTGGGAGGACAGAGTAAGAGACACCACAGAAGAAGCCATCTTCTCTCCAGTTGCCTCTTTCAGGGAAATCAAGACAACAGCTATTACATGCTGCAAACAGGGTAGCTAAGTGTAAAAAGCATTTCAGGCTTCCTCGGCTCAGAGTTTCACCCAAAACCGGACGCAAAACAAAACTCAACTAGCCGATACTGACGTTTGCATTATCAAACCAGAAGAATAAAGGCTGTTACTTGTAGTTTCCAGGTAATTTCAGTGTTGCCAGATACCTTCTCGAAAGCTGAGAGGTCAAGGATTCCTTTGTTAACTATACAAACAAGGCTGAACAGTGCATGTGTTGGAATATCCTTAGTGCAGGGAGGGAAATGTGTATAAATGCATATACTTAAGCATACTGGAGTACTGGAAACGGTTGTATTTTAACAGCTCACCAAGGAATACTGTTAAAAGAACCTTCCTCCTCAGTCAAAGCCAGAGCTTATTACTGGGTCCCTGGGAGCCTGTATGTATATTTCAGTCATGGATTGAGTAGGCCCTGTACAGAGATCTCTGAATCACACTGACATAATCATTACAACAAAGTTGTTTTTTAATGGAAAAAAAAAAAAAAAACCACCCAAAAACAAACAAAAAAAACTAGAAATTTACCATGGTTCTTCAGCTAACAAAAAAACCAAACAAAAAACCCAACAAACAAACAAAAAAACCCCAGCACTAAAAACCAAAAAAACCAAATCCAAAAAAAAACCCCAAAAAATGCCCCCAAAAAACCCAAACAAACAAACAAAACAAAACCCAAAGGAAGGCACTACGGCAAGTCTCATTAGTTGCCGATGTTTGCTGAAGAGCCTTTATGAAAAGGAATGAGACCAAGGAAAGAATCATAACAAAAACAAAGAGCTGTTTGGGAAGAATTTTCTCATGAATGCATGAAATTCAGTATAATGAGCAATGACGACAAATACAAAACACTGACAGCTTTCCATTACATGCAAGAGATGAAAACAAAAATGTCTCTACAGACAGCGACAAAGAACATTTTGTCATAGTCTGCTTTTGGATATGAATGGCCACAAAATGATTGCAGTAAAGGACTGCACAATTTACACCACTGATGGCATAACTGACCTACTAACAGGATAAAAGGAATCTGCTTTCACAAGTCCAAATAACACGCAAAACCTTCAACAAAATTACTACATTTCTAACTACATCAGTTTCCTATCGGTGACCAACACAGCAACAGGTCTGTTACTTTAGTAATTTGTTCATGCTTGGGTGAGTGGAAGATGCAAACAGAAGAGGGAAAATGCAGAGATCTGGTGAGAAACACATATGACTGTGTGAGAGTGCTAAATAACTGCAGCATGGGTAAGTTACACCTAAATAAAATGTGCCTTAGTGTTTTAAGCTATTTAATGTGCCAAGGGGCAGTATGAAAATTTACAGTGCATTAGACACAAATGGTGGTAACAACAACAGAATCTCAACATTAGTAGAGAAGGTGGTGTTGTAAATGTAGTGCCAGCTCACTGCTAAGTAGCATGTTAAACTTTAGAACAACTTCAGAAAACGTATTTTAAGCTAGCAATTTACATTTAGCAATAAATGTTCAATTTTTTCCATATAATAAATAAAAATGAAAGATTAATTAATTAACTTACCTTTCCACAAGAAGAAACTACTGGTAGTTTATGGGCTATTTTTGCAACAAAATTCAGCTGCAGGTTAAGTGAAAATAAAAATATTTATTAGCAATATTCTTTTTATTAAGTTATTACTAATATTGTATAATACTGTGTAATTAAGACCAGGAAAGCAATTCATCACTTGTTTTCAAATTAAGGCTGTATGGGTTTTTTTGCAGATAAGCTACTGCTGAAACAACTCATGATAAACTTGTGTTCTACAAATAGTCCAAATAGGTCACCAAATATCTATCAATCTGCTATGGCTAAACAATAAAGCATGGAAATCAAATAAGCTGTTCCTAGAATAGAGCAGCTTAAGCAAAGCTACACTAAGAAAAATGCCAGGTCAGATTCAGAGATCCTGCTGAAGCTGAGGTTTAGGCAAAAGCTGCTATGACGAAGAAGAAAGAGCAATGCAGGGCTCAAGAATATAGGATTCCCTCTGGAAAAGTTCAGCAGACTAAATATGGGTCTTAGAAATACAGGTGAAATGGAAGAGCACAATGGGAATCCTCTCTAAAGCACAAAAGAAAAGATTGTAGTGGAAGAATATCAAAAGTTGAAAGAAGTAAGGAGAACAGAAAAAATGCAAGCTGACAGCCAAAAATTACACTGTAAGAGCTGGAAATTGTTCTGAGAACACTTCTTCAACAGTTTTGCTTTGTGACTTAAAGCTATTCTCTTAGAAGATACCTTCCTAGAGGAAACAGCTGTATTTTATTGTATCCAGCTCTTGAAACTTATATTACCATTTTCCTATTAGACTATATAAAGGCAGAGATAAATAAAAAGCTCCACTGCAAGGCAGGGGAATGAGGGAGATAAGAGAAAAGTAAGATGATTTCTGCCTGGTTGTTTTTCAAATGCCTGGTGGGAACATGCAGCTCTTTTTCAAAAGTTGAGAACAGGAATCTTTAAGACACTGCCAACTGAGAGGAAAGAAGCTGTGGGCTGATTTTAGATTCTGAGATGCACTGGAACATAGTAACCACAAGCAGGCATTGGCATGCATACCAGCTCTTGGGGTAAGTTTGGGGAAACACTGAAGTTGACAATCAGAAGATAAGATTCCTTACCAGTAACCAGAACTGGAAAGATGCATTGTCAACATCTCCTTCTGGGCTATGCTTCACTCACATGCTGTGTAGTTTCACAATCATTTTCCACTGAATCAATGCTTACAATGTGTGGTTAATGCACGAATAAATCACTAGTGTGTCATACACCTCAACCAATACCTCAACTGCAGAAGCTCACAGCTATCAAAGGGCTATCAGGAGTGAAGAAGAAGGAAATTATACATACAGGGGATCAATAATTTTAAACAATATCCATGCCTCCTAACTTCTATAATCTTATTTGGATTGTAGGTAAATTCAAGTTACTGCTTAGCATCTAACTTCTAACTGCTCAAATTCTGATTCCACATCCCCAGGTTTTACAGAAGGCTGTCCAAGAATCTTTCACAGAAACAACACACGGAGCATAACTTCAGATGTATTAGGTACTTATTTTTTTCCTATATTTATGTTGCATGGTACAGTTGCATCAGAGTAAAGATTTAGGTTTTGTAAAATTAAACCTTGCATGCTGCTACATTTTTATTCAGTATCAAGAAGAGGGAGTTTCTTCATTGAAAAGAAGTGAAATCTTCAGGCTGGGGACATCACATGGCTGAGTACACAACAACTTTCTATATTGTGAATGCAAGCTAAATTCACTTGGACAGGCCAACAGCCATATATTCCTGAATTCTTGCTTCATCTCGTCTGTAGTTACAGAGGACATTGGCTAAAAGACACATTAGTGTTTAAAGCCCATATTCAAAAATTGGTGCTGCCCACTGTCTCATGTACCTCCATTTAGTAATAGCAAGAGAGCATTAGGGAGAACAAGTGTGATGACTTCAGCAAACTATATTAAGTCATGTAACTCAAGTTTTTATTCTCCGTCTACTAAAACCCCTATGATTTATGATGTCTGCTTTAATCTGCTTACATTCTATGTAACACACCAGCTGCCCCTTAAAATCTTGACCTAGAAAATATTGTGATAAAAACTAGTGATTTTATATCTTAAGTCACTTTTACAACCACTTTAGCTGGCTACTTGTGGTATAAGCTCTGTGTGACATATGTCAGAACATCTGCTGATCTTTAAGATCTCTTCCAACATAGCCCATTTTACGATTGATTCTATGTTATTTCTTAATTTTAGTAATCCCTCTGATTTTGGCTGACTATTGCTTCAGGTTGATTGTACTCCATGATTAGTAAAAAAGGAAATTCAAGAGACAGAAGCAGTACTTGATAGACTCAAACTAAACAAAGGTTTAGAATGAGATGCAAAACTCTCATTGTAGATTACTGCATACAAAATTACTATTAGATATAGCCAAGTCTCTGCCTTTTTGATCTTTATCCAATTCTAATGCTGATACTCACATACACATACAAATGAGGGAAATATCTCAGCTATAATAATCTCTACGCACAGAGTACAACAGATGTGCACAAGAAATTGTACATAACAGAATACAGTGAAGCTCAATGATTCATGGGTCTGGAATAACCCTTTTTATCTCTAGCAGATAAATTAGCCCATATTCACAGGATAGCTGCAAGAGTATGAGGCAGCAAAAGCCTGTGACTGGACTTTGCATCTAATAACCAAACTGAGAAGCTGCTAGAATGCCACATGTCAGTGAACAGAACTGCTGCTGCCATCACAACCTCCAAGGTCCAAAACCACAGAACTTTTACCCCATCCATATCTCCAGTGGAGAGGGCATCTCTGGACCTGCTAGGAAGGTAGAGACGGGAAGCATAGTAAAAGAGATGTTTTTTATGACAAGACAAATCCTCTACCCAAACTACCTTGAAGAATCAAGAATTAGCAGGCAGCTTGGTGTGCTCCCAGCACATACTTGGGATGGCAGGCTAAACCACATGAGCCTTCTGGTCAAACACAGCAGGTCAAAATTAGCAGGCAGCCTACACTACCAGGGGCAGAAGCTGAGACAGCCTCAAGGCAGGAAGATCAGTGTACAGGTATGAAGAAAACTGCCCAGGCTGTTACAGTAAATGACTTTTATTTTTTAAAAAATGAAATAACCGTGAACATATTAACAGGCCTGCAAGTGGCACTACAGTACAGCTGGAGATAAGGTCAATACATTTCCCCATGTACCCGGACAATGAAATCCATTGCATCAATGCTGACATTAGTAAATTCTGAATACAGTTCTATCAAGCAGGAACATTTTACTTAAAATAGTTCTGGACAAAGTTGACACCAAAAGTTAACATTTCCTTCACTTTGGAAAGGATATATGTTTTATAGATGTTTTCAGGTAGCACTGGTATTGGGTGAATATTGCCTGCAGTCACCAGTGCAGGGAGAGATGTACAACATCTCCTTGTGAGAACAGAGTTTATACTCCTTTTTACTTTTCATTCTGAGGAAGCAGGGTGGCATAGAGAGAGGGGAGAAGATAGGTGAGGTAATATGGGCAAGGGAGGTGGGATGTCAATTTCTGTTCAATTCTCCTTTGGCTGTTTTTGTGCTATTTTGGACTGCTTTCTAAAAATCACTTCTTGATTTTATTGAAAGGAAGACTAAATGTAATACACCTTTCCTTGAAAATCCAGGAACAATTGTGGTACTTCAAAAATACTAAAAATATCTACTTTCATGAAATATTAACTGTTTCACTACAAACCTATTTTTTCACTAAATACACAATTCTCTTATTTCTGGAGTCTCCCTGGGGAAAAAAAAAAAAAAGTGGGTTCTCCCTTTAGTTCTGCAACTCTACAGTGTATAGAGAAATGGCTAGAAGAAGGGGAGTGCAGAGAATAGCTTTATCCTTTTCCTTGGCCAGTATCTCACACGGGAGTTTGTTTGAATTTCTGCAGTTGGGCTACTGTTGGTCACATTCTTTCAGCAGTTATCAACCAAGTCTGCAGTAGGACAATCCACGTCCAGCATGTTCTGTCTAACTTTGTGGAGACTAAATAGGCATGAGGGAAAAAACCATCCACACTCTTTATACCATTTTTGATCGTAATATGCAGGAACACCAAGTGGTTTCCATGTTCTTTCAATTTGTAAAAGGCCACAGGAAAGGGATATGGCACCTTTTAGAATCTGGAGTTCTGCATTTAAGAGTGCAACCTTCCGTTAGACCTTCGGTGTTGAGGCAGCGTAGAAAACAGTGGCTGAAGAGTGTAATAATACTGACCACACCAGCTCCCAGTGAGAAGCTTTTGCTCCTGCAGAGGCAGTCGTGTGCAGTCCCTGTATATACCGTGAGCAAAAGGCCTACTTGACAGGGCATTTGGAATTAGCAATTCCTACGATCTAGCTAGTTTAGATTCATGAGCTTTCAGTGTGCCAACAGCATCTTTCACTGCATGGTAGATAATGTTCTTCACCTGCAACAGGAAAAAAAAAATCAACTTCTACAGACTAACAAGGAGAGTCTTACATAGCTATGCAATCAACTTTGACAGCTGAGTTTGTAATAGTTGGCAAGTATACCTAAAATATAAACCCTTTTTCCTTCAGCATACCAACACCACAAATTTTAACTGTCACAGATGACAAGTATCTTAGACATCTGCACTGATTTATGAACTCATTTTCTGGTCACCCAACAACATATATTTACTCGTGTTGTTTTAAGATAATTCCTTCTTTTGTGAGAGCTAGGAGGAAGTGCACTACAAAGTTATATATATATATATATATATTTATTTATTTATTTATTTATTTATATATATATATATATATTTATTTTTATATATATATATATATATGAGTTTATTTTAAAAAGCCCTTGTGATCCAAGTCACTTAGAGACTCATATGAATCAAATCTAAACGATGCAAGAAAATAATATGGTTTAATCCTATGAAAATTAAGATGATGCAACAAATCATCCTGCTGTCTTTGCATGGAGGCTAGAAATGCTTCAAATTTGTGAATCTTGCAGAAAGAAAGCACTAGTGAATGAGAAATCCACTAGTATTCACTGCTATCTTTTTCACAGTTACCTATTTAAGAATCAAAGTTCTGTCTAGTTTCTGATTTTTTCTGATCTAAGTTTATTTGAATTCTGTTTCCAGGTGCTGAACAGAACAGTTTGACCTCCTAAGTGAGTGGCTCAATTGCACTTGCTCAACTAACTGCCAAGCACCATCATCTTGTCACCTCATTTTTGGTACAATTTATGCAGCTGTTATTGTCTCTCTATGAAAATACAGAGGTTTATATAAAAAATACATTAAAAAGGACAAAGTTTTTTTTTAAAAAAGACTGAGACAAATACAACCAGTATTCCTTCTCAAGGGATTACTGAGTTGCACTTTGTGGGTTTTTGTTTTTTGGTTCTGTTTTTTTAATAATAGCATTGTTCATTTGCAACCTCTTAATTTACAGAAACATTTCCACATTTGTATCATCACAGCTGGAGAGGTACAGTGTTAGATGCCAGAATGAGAGTTGATCCTACTTCTGCTTTCCTTCATAATCCCATGAAAATTCACATAGAAATTTATAGCAAACTTTCACTGAACTGGTATGAGAGAATTAACATTGTAGATTCTGACATCCTTGGGTGACATTCTGGAGAGTGACCATATACTGTGTACTTTGATGAGGACAGCCATTCTGCAGATCTCCACCCTCCTTTCTTTCACATACATGTAATTACTGATACACAAAAAATTCTAGCAACAAAATCTGCAAACTGAGCAGTTACTAAAGTTGCTTCAGAAGCGTTAGACAAAATCCAACAAGATCTCCTATGGTCTTCTCTCTGTAGAACTTACTGTCATATAGCCAGTGTCCTTGTGTACCTATAATGTTCTGTGCATAATCATTAGTTGAAGCAATCACGGTTCCTCAAACCAAAACACATTTAATTTTAGGACTATCGGATAAGACCTTTAAGATCATCGAATCCAACCACACACCTAACACTGCCAAGTCCATCACTAAACCATATCCCTGACTTAAATAAGCCATTAGCTTTCAGAGGAGTTTTCCTTTAGGCAATAAAGAAACAAACATAAGTGTACTTGGCCAAATAAACATCTCTTCAAAACAAAGCACTGCTCTTTCCTTTCTAAGATTTTTCTTTCTTCTGGTCTGCTCTGCTGTCATTAGGATTCAGCCATTCAAAAACTTATTAATACCAATGCATGCATTAGTCTAATGGGGGAAAGTTCTCTGGAAATGCAGAAGTCTATTACTAATTTTTGTTTACATAATACTGTAGATAGAAGTACTTAGTTTTCAAGTAACGTACCTATCAAATGAGAACCTCCAGATTTGTGAGAAGTCATGACACTTTACTTAGACATAAATTTCTAGTACTGAATAAAGCTGGCAAAACACAGGATGTATTTAGTGTTTACTGACATAAAATGGTTACCTGCAGTTTATCTTCGTGGTTTGTATGAGTATTAGACAGATGTCTGAACTCCTGGGTCAGACGGAAGCAGTGCTTCACATGTTCAGGAGATACAAAATCTTCTGCCACTTTAATGCAGCTGTACAAATTATGGACCTAAAAACCCGTATCAAATGAATGATATATAAAGACAATGAACCATACAAAAGAAAAATAAAACCCCAAAACCCAAAAGAAACATCAACAACAACAAAAACCAAACCCCCAAAAACCCCCAATACACCCCCACATATTTAGGCTCTGGTACATTTACTCATCAAAACTAGAAACTGACAGAATTGTATCTAATAGTAAAATGAGAACAAAATACATGACATCTAACAGATTTCCTGTTCTCCCATATACCTTAACATTCCTTAAATCAAGCTCTCCTAACCTTTGAATTTGGTTTCCTTGGCTGAAGTTTCACTACACAGAAATGCTTTCCCTCCATTCACCCCAGCTTTTTTTTCCAAGGTAATTTCATCACAGTTAAGTACATATCATTCAGATTATTTACATAACTTCTAGTAATGTAAGAACTGCATATGTAGAAAAAGAAACCTTAAGTGTGCAATATCAATTACCAGTTATTTTAAAGCTGCAGCTGTTGTGCCTCCAATTCAGTTCTATCTGTCAATATGGCCTAGAGTTGGTATAGTTACCTGATGGGGAGCACCGGCAGGAATGAACACAGCATCGCCAAGGAACTGCACTATTGCCCAGCCTTGCACACCATACTCATCGTATAGTCTCTTACGTAAGGTCTGGTCCAAGTACCAACTTTGGTCATGAATGGGGTCGTGATCCGGAGGATTTTCTTGCCCTTGTTCTTCTCCAACCTAAGGCCAAGATATGGGGTGGAAGGAAACCATGACACAGCACCTTGATATTGCTGGCTCACAAAATTGTCTGTACCTAAAAACTTAAACTTAACGAATTATTTCAAGGTGGAACATTATTTTCATGAAGGGTATTCAGGTCCTAAACAGCAACATACATTAGCATGAAGATTCCAGACCAGGCTGAAAACCTGTGAACATAGCAACTATCAGTGCCCTCAAAGACAGAAGTGCAATACCTATGCACTTGATGTTGACAGCAATTTGAATCATTCAGCTGCTATAAGCAAGCTAGTCAAGGAACCCTGTAAGCTCAAGCTTTCTTTGCAACCAGCATACCTTCCGGAGAAGTTCCCGTATCTTTTCAGCATCCTTGGCAGCATAGATGTGCCACAATGCTCCAGGTTTCTCTCTTCCTTCATGGATTCGCTGCTTTGTTACATCATCAGCATCTCCCTCATCAATTGTTTTCAGAACCTCTGAAAGGGAAATCCATGTAAAAGCTGCTCATTTTTTGACATAGAGAAGAGGAAGGAACATTTTGAGCTACTAATTTCAGTCACGCTGCAACTGTTGCATCATATAGTGCCCTTTCTAAGCCCATCAAGCTTCATTTTAACAGAATTCAGGGAATGTGTCAATTGACAGCT